CAACCAGGTGTTCTAACAAGAATTTATAATACCCAATTCACAGATATAACACTGAATTCATTCTAAACTACAAATTATTCTGTTTCCATGCAATTATTAACTTGTACACTATTAAAAACAGTTGTAGGTATCAATTGTTATATTTCAATTCATTTCAGCCATGTCATTAAGAATTAGTTCTCACAGATAAGAGTTCTTACAACACTGAACAGAATAAAGCATTTTAGTCATTTTTCCACCTTGAATATTCAGTAATACTCTTAATAAATGCTCAAATGATACAGAGCTATTTTATGAAAGTGATTCACTATCAGAATCATTTTAAGGGTAATAACAGTAAGATAATGTTTCTATTTCAAAGTTTCTATTTTTTCAAAAGTTCACAGAGAAAATTTAACAATAAAATAGATCGCTAAAAACTTCAAAGAAAAATACTGTTAATTTTCAATTGTTATTTAAACAAAATTCTATAGATGAGATTTATTAACTGCAGTAAATTTAGATCAAATCTTAAATATTTTATACAGGGTGTGGCAAAAGTAGGTTTAAAGTTGTTCATATGGAAAATAATTAGTAAATAATATAAGAATAAACTCCTTTGCATATTCACACCTATAAGCCTACTTTTGCCACACCCTATACTCAATGTTAACTTTACAATCTTCTGATCCTAGAAGCAGACTCCTTGATCTTAAGCAAAATGAAGAGTATTTTACTATTGTATACAAGGTGTACAACAACTTAAATTACTACCACTTTCCACAGAACTACAATTCAGAGCAATTGAGATAAATATACAGCTAGGACACTAGGTCAATGTAAGAAAACAGCTATTAACACAACTCTCTTCTTCTCATCCCCAAATATCTACTTAAGGACCAAAATTTACTGTTAAGAAGACATACTTTCAACTGCACAAAAATAACAGCATAAAACAAAGCACAGGAAGGTATATCATCTGTGAATCAAAACTCAACTCCCCAGAACTTTACTAATACATATAGGATACTGTATTCCTGACCAATGTAGTTACACCTGTCATAAATAATATTTAGGACTCATTATAAGCAAAGAAATAATATACGACAGGAGGTTAGAATACAAACAGGAAAAATAAAGATTGCAAAATTTGCTTAGCTATTACTATGGGTCAGGAGAATCAGTCTCATTCCTATCTACTGATAATCTGCAACAAAAATGGAAAAAAGGAAAGAATACAGGTTCTTAGAGCCACCTGCTTGTTTCAAATTCATTTCTCCAGCACTTGGTTGCTCATTAACTTCTAGCAGTACAGTATTATAAGAACTTTTATGCAACAGTTTTAAAGTTGTATACCACTTTTTAATTCTAAACTAAACATTTTTTTTTTTTTAGGTAGATCAATAGACTACACTTTAAATCTTAGGTGTCGAACATTTCAAAGTATCAGAACAATTAGCATCTACTGAGTTCTCATACCTAGAACTCACCAGTAATAAAACAAAGCTGATTATTTCACAAGTCTCCAAACACCAAACTTGTGTAACTTCTATATTACTTCCTAGAAATTGGACTTTGTAGCATAACACATAATCATCTCTATAAGCACTGATGCATATACCATTCTCACCTTATCCTTTTCATGTGGAAGGAGTGACACTGGAGGTAAAGAGGAAAGAGACTCACAACTCTCTTTCCCATCCACATTGGTTGCTTTAGTGTTAAGCCGATAAAGAGGTCCATCTTTAAGAAGTCTGCCATGGCCAATGGCGCGTTTAACAGCCAATCGGAACTGCTGGTGAAAACCTGAGGCAGCACTGCCTCCAAATAATGCAGACACATCCTTCTGACCTTTCAAAAATCGTTCAATGCTTTTCAAAGTTGAGCCACCGGCCTCTGCCAAGCCATCCACCGCCCGCTTGATCAGTTTATTCCAATCTACATTTTGTTTATTGTCCAATTTTCCATGGTTTCGAGGTTTAGGAAGTGCTATTCGCCCAGGATTATCGGGATCTTTATAGGAATTGAGACCTTTATTTGAAACTTTTAAAATGGTTCCATCTTTAACACTCAACTCCAGTTGTTCTAAAACAGTTTTACGATCCAAGCCATGGGATGAAGACACTGCATTGCATATCCTTTCTTCTGAAGGGCGCTGTTTCTGCTTCTTCACTTTTTTGATGGCCTCCAAAATCCATTCCGTATACAGCGGGTTAGCGAGTTTTACCATGGTGAAGGATTCGTATATCCATAGAGTCGTTATCCCTTATCCTGATGCTGAGTAAGTTTTACACCATGGAAAACAGCATTCTCGGAGGCTGGGAACCAGTTAACCATAGCATACAAGTTTTCTGGCCTAAGTCCTTCCTCCTTTCACAAAATAGAATGCCTCCCACTTTACTTTAGAAACCTAAAAAACTTATTTGAAATGTTTCCAAGCTTCCCAATAGGTTTCTCAACAGCACCACATATGCGTCTCTTCATAAAGTTGTAAAAATTCAAGAACATCTCATTCCCAGCAGGAAAGTGTGCATCTATGCCTGAAAAAAAATTAAAACAAAGTCAGTTTTCTATCAAGGCCCATTTTGTGAATAAGCTATAACTGAAGAAATATCCCGGTCTTTAAAAACAATCAAACAGTGTTTACTAAGCACCTGTAGAAGTTTGAATGTTTCTATCAACATTCCAAAACAATCATGTATGTAAACCACTGGGATAAAAATGAAAAGAAAAGAAAAAGCTGAATAATTAGGATACAATGAGGAAACAAAATGAGATGCACTATGAATGACCTTAGGCTACAAGTAACCAGAGGGTGCTGGCTGTTCTTTGCTCCACAATCTCTGCTCCACAATCTCTGCTCACCAGTCTATGAACTGAAACTCTTCCTTGACATCTTTCCCCAAGAAACTATTCAGCACTTCAACAAAAATCTGGGTTAGTAGAAAGAAGCCTGTAATGAAAATAAGAGTGAATCTTCCATCTTTTAAAATTCCAGACATTCAGACTGGATAAAAACAGTCAATACGAAAACCACTGAGAACATTTTAACTATTTCATGTATTAAAGAAACAACAAGTAGAATTTACACAGATCACGTGCATATTTTAAATACATTACTTTAAACATTCCAAATGAAAACAAAAATAATACTGAAAATAGTTGTGTGAAAAGTACTTAAGGAATTTTTAAATAATCTAATTCCATTCAAATTTTAAGAATTACATGCCAATAGCTTCTCATAGCCAAACATTTTCAATATATTTGGAGGGAGTGTAACAACTGTCAAAATGTTTATAATTAGTCTACAGATAAACCAGAAATGGGAAAGGCCCAGAACCACTGTGTTCAAACGCACACACTACAGATTTTGAAATGTACGGCATAGAAAAAAATGTATTCCCTGTTTGTGGGTCTAAAGAGATCTCAGAGATTCAAGACTGCTGTCCGGAGATAAACATTAATACGTAAAACACAAACATACAAATATACTGCCTCTCCCAGGATCAAAGTCATTATCCTTTCAGACAAAAGAGACTGGCAGACACTAATCTTTTTTAAAAATCACCAAAATAATGAAGTCTCAATCTAAATAACTCCTTTACTTCCAAAAAATAAATTTAACGAAAGTGTTTTTAGACCTCTGCTCTTATGGAGGAGCATTCACATTACAACATAAACAATGCTAAAGATAGGCCTCCCACGGCAATTATTGAGAGTGAAAGAGTGACATTAGAATCCAAAGGAAAACCAAAAGATATTAGGAAAGAAATCGTACTGCTAACCATGCTAGGAAAGAAAAGGAAATACTCAAGCCTTAAGAGCCAAGGTTTATTTTTAAATTATTTGACTAAAAAGAAGCCCCCTGAGAGCGCTCTATCCTTCATTTGGGTGAGCGTCTCAAGAGGACAGAAATCACAGTGTTATTACTCTAGGAAAGTTAATTATGAAGACATTATCGCTGAGCGAAGTGAGAAGCTACCACGAGTTGAAGAAACTAGCAACAGCCTAATTGATTACTCTCCCAGGTGAAGGAATGAATGGCAGCGCCCCGTCCCCACCTCTCCCGAAAGTAAGGCGCCGGCAGACTTGAACTTCCAGCTCCGCACGGGCACCAGCCGGCGGGGAGAACGCACCACTCGCTTCCGACGGCCCTTCCCGGGCTCCATTCCCCACCCCCAAGCACCTCTTCGCGCTCGCTTTTCAAAAGAGCAAGAAACTTGAAAACTTGAAACAGCACCCCCCGGCCGCTTGCCAGCGGGCACGCCGTTCCCACTAAATGGAAACAGAACCCGAGGACTAAATTAACAATGAAATCACGTGAAGGGGTTCCGAGGAGCGTATCTCCCCTTCGCAGCCCCTTCGCATCCGCGGCTCCGCAGAGGCCGCTTCCGAAGAGGGCCGGGGGCGCGCGGGCTGCCCGGGACGCCTGACAGGTCGGGCGGCTCCGGTCCACACCGGCCGGCGCTGACAGGCCGCCCGCCGTCTCCCCTCCCGGCGCCCGGGCTGACAGCCCGGCAGACACCACACCACACGTGCTGCCTCCTCCGCACCACAACACCCGCCCGCCTGTCACCCCCACTGGCCGCCACGGCCCCGCCGGGATCTCCGCGCCCCGGGCCCGAGCCGGAGCGCGGACAGAAGGGGCGGCCGGGCGCAGGTGGGGCCGCGGCGGTGGGTGCGCCCCCGAGGGAGAGCGGGCTCGCCGGCACAGCACAGCCCAGCCCAGCCCGAGGCTCGCGGCCTGGGCCGCTCGCCTTCCGCCCGCCCGCCGGCACCCCCGGCGGCGCCCGACCCGCGGGCGGGCGGCGGGAGAGTCGGGCCTGCTGCGCGCGGTCCGCGGGGTGGGGTGCGCCCGGCGCCGGCCCGGCGCGAGGGGGCGGCCGCGGTGCCTCAGCCCGAGGCCTGGCGCAGAGCAGCGGGAGGCGGCGCAGGCCGCGGCGGGGCCTGCAGCCGCCCGCCGACCCCGCGAGGCGGCCGAGCGGGCCCCGGAAGGGCTCCGCCTCGGGCTCGACGGCCGAAGGCGGTCGGGGGTGGCCCCGCGGCTACTTACCGGGGGCGAAGAGAGCCGGAATCCCGGGGACCCGGGCCGGACCGCGGAGATGCCCCAAACTGACACGACCGCCATCTTGGAGACAGTGAGCTCCGGCCGGGGGGAGGGGCGGCGAAGCGGCGGAACAGCCGCGGGGGGAGGGGAAGCTTCGCGAAGGAAGGGCCGCCTGGGGGAGGGAGCGGGAACAGCCCGGGAGGGAGGCGACGGGGGGCGGGAGGGGGAGCGAGCGCGGGAGGGGGGCGGCCGCGGGGCGGGAGTCGCCGGGCCGAGTGCCGGGAAGGGCCGGAGGGCGGGGCGGGATCGGAGGGAAGAGCCGGCCGGGCGGGTCACGTGGGGCCGGTACAAAAGGCCAAAGCTGAAGTGGGAGGAGGGCCCGGTGGGGCTGGAGGCCAGCAGCTCGGGGCTCCTTCTCGCCTTTCTCACGCGGCTAGGTCGGCCGGAGACTCGGGAGAGGAGATGGTGTGTCCCCATTACACAGCTGGGGAGACTGAGGGCGGGAGCACGGGCGGGGTGGTGTCGGTGCGGTCCGGAAATCCGGCGGCCGGGCGGAATCTGAACTCTGGATGGCGGCCGTGTTTACAGTTAGCAGAGCCTCCCAGCCCACTTCGGAGCCCTCGCCCCACTGGCACCGGGACTCCCCCGGAACCCGAGGCCGGGAGCCGGGTGGGCGGGGAGTGGGCAGGTGCCAGGAGGAGGCTGCCTCCCTCCATCCTGCCCCTCTGCTCGCCTCGCGCACCCCACACACCTCGCTCCTCCCTTCGGTCGGGAACAGAGTGGGTGCGAGGAGAAGCGGGGAGAGGGTAGGAGCTCAGACACCGCGTCAAGCTCTTTGTCAAGTCTGCACAGTGAGAGACTTGTTGGACCTTAAGCAGAGTCGTTTTTGTAGCAAACTAGGGTCGGGAGACTTGCACAAGGTCACTCGGCTATTGTGGCACACGTCTGAGTTTGCAGCCGCGGTCTGCCTCAGGCCAGTGCCCGGCGGTCTGCTCGCCCCGTGCAGCGTTGCTCTTGCCCGAAATGATGGCTGAACCATGAACTGGCACTTTTTTATGGCCCGACTGTCCTCTGCTGGCTGCCTGTGTTTCTTTGTCTTTTCTCTCATCTAGTTTAAACTCCTTGAGGCAGAGATTGAGTCATACTTTTTTTGTGGGTTGGTTTTTTGGTTTTTTTTTGTTTTTTTGGTGTGTTTTTTTTTACTGCATTCACTGGAAAGGCCATAAATGACAAATGAAAAGACATACTAAATGCGTAATAACTTTGCGTATGTTTTCCTGCTCCTCTAGACCTTTATCTGCTTCCGGCATAGACTGTCTCTTCTAACACCTCATTTTACCCCAGTTTTACCTTTTGAAGACCACCCTCTCACTGCCTTAACTTCGATGTTTATAAACTTTTGTTGTATTGACCATTTGCCTCCATCCTTCCCCTTTTTTTACATTTGCATTTACTTTACATTACTTTGGCATTTTGTGTGTGGCCTTTGTATATATTTTATTAATATGTTCCCTTGTACATACTGTTCTAGGATGTCTCTTTGCATCTCCATGGCAGTATTGTACAAGCAGTACAGACTCAAAAAACAAAAGAAAGTTGATAGTGAATGAACAATTTTAAGCCATGAAGAAAGGTGGAATTTCTACACCCTCCCCCCCAACTCAAGACTTGAGTGTTTATACCTCAACATATACTTTACTATCTCTATAGATTGTCTCTACTCTAATTTTTAGGCTGTTTCTATTCACTACTAACATAAAAACTGATATGTTTATATGGTGGTCTGGCCAACTCAATATCCTAGCGCTGACACTGATAACATAAGTGTGGTGTGATGAGATTTCCTGAATCACCCTACTTCCCTGCCCCAGGCCCAAATTAGGAGAGAAATTTGGAGATAGAAGATAATCTATTAGGATATTTTCCATCCTAGAGTAATCAGACAGATGTATTCTCAAGTAAAGTGGGAGCTATTTGTAATGGAAATACAGGAATTTTTTTTAAAAAAGGTTTTTATTTCCCAAAGAGGACAGATAAAAGCATATTAATAGAAAGAAAATTAGTTCTTCATGTGAGAGTAGTATGTGGTCTTCAAAAGAAAAATAATATGTGTAGAGATGATCTGTTAGCCTTTGGATAGATAATTTGGAAGAAAACTAGCCACAATCATTCCTGTGAAAAGACCAAACTGGAAATTAAGCACACAGTAGCAAGAATTTAAAACTATTTGCAACAACAAACTACAGTTTAGCTTTCCAAACAGCTTCCAAAGAGAGACTTTACTTTACATTTGCATTACTTAGGGCACATTGTAGAGGACTCCTCAAAATAAAAGGTCTGCAACAAAGACAGATTAAAGTCCTCATCTTTTGCATGTTAAAAACAATCCACAGTACTGAAAGGACAGTTTTTCTTGCTGCGAACTTTACAAAGAATTCAGCCCTGCAGAGCTGGCAGCTAAAAGTTACTTCCCTCTTCCACATCTTGCTCTAGGAATCCCTGCCTTTTCAGTTGTAGTTGGTAGCTATATTTTATGCAGTCTAGCTAAGCCTAAAATTGAAAGGTTGCTTATCCTTGTTTCAACAGGAAAAATTTTTAGTCCATTTACATTTAATATAATTACTGCTGTGTTTGGATTTATGCCTGAATATTACTATTTATTTCCTTTTGTCCACTTACTTTATATCCTTTATTTTTTTGTTTCTTGCCTTATTTTGAATTAAAGTATTTTAAAGCATTAACCTCCTTTGTTAGCTTATTAATTACACATTCTTTTAGAAATCTCAGAGATTGCAATATGTTTGTTTGACTTATTATACTCTAATATAAATGATTGCTTACACTACTTTCCCAAGAATGCTAAAACTTTAGAATAGTATGCTTCCACTATTTCCCTTTTGTGTTTTTTGTTGTCAAGGATTTTAAATTTAAAATATTTTTAAAATTAATTTGAGAGAGAGAGGAAGAGGGAGAGAGAGAAACATCGATCAATAAGCAAAGAAAATAAAAGTCATCTAAATTGGAAAGAAAGAAATGAAACATTTTACTCTTAGATGACATGATTTTCTATCTAGGAAATTCTACAGAATCTACAAACAACTAGAATTAATGTTAATCAAGGTTGCAGGATATAAGATCATACATATACAAAAATCAAGTGTAAAATAATCTGATTTTTTAAAATAAGCTTTAAAAGTGATGATTTCTATGTGAAAGACAAAGAACATCCAGGTCAACCTAAAAAGTTTGAAGACCAACAATTATAAGTATTGTTGGATGAAGATGCATGTCAAAATCAAAAACAACTTGCAGAGATATTAAACATTGCTCAGCAAACAATTTCCGATTGTTTACAAGCAATGGGAAAGATTTTAAAGGAAGGAAAATGGGTGCCACATCAACTGAACAAAAGACAAATGGAAAAACGAAAAGTCATCAGTAAAATGTTGCTTCAACGGCATGAAAGAATGACTTTATTGCATCGAATTGTGACTAGCAATGAAAAGTGGATTTATTTTGAGAATCCCAAATGCACAAAATCATGGATTGATCCAGGTCAACCATCAACATCGACTGCAAGGCAAAATTGCTTCGGAAAGAGGACAATGCTCTCTCTGCATTTGGTAGGATCAGGAAGGTGTGGTGTATTATGAGCTTCTAAAACCAGGTAAAACAATTAATACTGATCGCTACTGGCAACAAATAATCAATTTGAACCACGCTTTGATCGTAAAATGACCAGAATGTGCCAGAAGACATGGCAAAGTAATTTTGCTTCATGATGACACACCATCACACACTTCAAAACCAATTAAAGACACATTAAAAGTTCAACCTGGGAAGTATTAACCCACCCGCCATATTCACCAGACCTTGCTTCTTCAGATTACCACTTGTTCCGATGGCACATGCATTTTCTGAGCAGCACTTCAAAACGTACAAAGAAGTGGAAAATTGGATCTCTAAATGGTTTACCTCAAAACAAGAAAAGTTCTATTGGGATGGTATCCACAAATTACCTGAAAGTTGAGGGAAATGTGTAGCTAGCGATGGACATTACTTTGAATAAAGCACTTTTGATGTTTCTCTTGAAATTATCGTGTTTTCTTTGATTACAAAATCCGCATTATTAGCTGGTACACCTAGTATTTATTTTCTCCACTTTTAACTATAATTTCTTAAACATATCAATTCTAGCTATATTAAATCTCTTTCTGATTATTACAATAGCTACATCTTCTGTGGGTCTATTTCTATGTTTATTCTTTCCGTTGGTTTTTGGTCAATTTAAGCAAATTGAACATGTGATTATAAATAAGGGTAATATAATCAACTGGATTTATCCCAGAAATGCAAGACTGGTTTGAAAATCAACTGATGTAATTAACCACACTAGCAAACTAAAAAAGAAAAAAATTATATGATCAGGTCAGTAGATACAGAATAAGCATTTGAAAAATCCAAAACCTATTCCTGATTAAAATCTCTCAGCAAATTGGGAATATAAGAGAGCCTTCCTACACTGGTAAAGGGCATTTATGAAAAATCTACAAGATACTTAATGGTAAAAGACCAATACTTTCCCTCAGAGACATGATCAAGACAAATATGTCTGCTTTGTCACCACATCTATTCAACATTGTGCTCTAGATTCCAGCCAGATCAATAAGTAAAGAAAATAAAAGTCATTTAAATTGGAAAGAAAGAAATGAAACACTTTACTCATAGATGACATGATTTTTCTATCTAGGAAATTCTACAATCTACAAACAACTAGAATTAATATTAATCAAGGTTGCAGGATATAAGATCATACATATACAAAAATCAAGTGTAAAATAATCTGATTTTTTAAAATAAACGAAAGACTTGAATTGACATTTTGCCAGAAAAGATATGCAAATGGCCAATAAACCCATGAAAAGATCCTCAACATCAGTAATCATTAGGGAAATGCAAAGTCAAAGTCACTATGAAATACCACCCATTAGGATGTATACTATAAAAAAACAACAACAACCAGCATTGCCCTGGCTGGTGTGGCTCAATTGCTTGGGCGTTGGCCCTGTGCACCAATGGGCAGGCTTGATC